CTGAGAAGAAAATCTTTTAGATAACTCACAATAAACTGCCTTGAGACAGAACAGCAAGAGCCTGCACAGTTTTTCTTTAGAAGCACAGGTTAGAGGAGAAATTTCACCACCATATGGGACCCCAGAGCAAGGCTGGGGCTCCCACAGGCCTCGATGGAGCTACACGCCATGCCCAGGGCTTCTTGTCCTCTTTGTGTGGGGTCTGTGTGGTGTCTTACAGGGCTGCTGGCAGAGGTTTGGGCTGCCAGATGAGTGCACTGGCCCGTGGTTTGCTGTGCACTGCATCTGCTTCAGGCTGCCTACCCTAGAGTGTGCTGTTCCCTTTCAGAAATGCTCCTGCTGCAGCTGCAGCTCCTGCAGCACGGCTTGGCCATCAGGCAGCACCGGGGCTGGGGCTGAGATCTGGTGCCCAGCTTGACCCTCTCTTCTTCCTGCTGTTTTATTGCCTTCAATTCATTCCTTTCCACATGGGTAAGTTGCTTTTTGGTGGCCATTTCTTGCCAAGTGCTGCTGCTGGCTGCCTTTTCTTATGCACAGACCAGGTGGTGAAGATTCCTCCTGCAGGATTGCTCCTGCAGGCAGGCTGCTGTGCCCTTGGGCTGGCTTTGGGCATGGTGACATGCTCCCAGTCCACAGTGAGGAACCTGTCCCCACTCAGAGCACTCTGTGATGGCAGCCCTTGTGTGTGTGTGTGTGTGTGTGTGTGTGTGTGTGTGTGTGTGCAGCAGGGACATGGCTCAGGTGAGATGGTGCTCTCAGCTTGAGGCCCTCCTTGCTGAGGATGCACAGCGAGGACCTTGTGGGGAGAACCACAGCAGCTCTTCTGTGCAAGGGGTGTCTTGAAGTGGTGTTGGTCTTCTGCAGGGGTGGGACCAGGGGAAGGCAGGCTGGCAAGGACATGGCACAGCACCCTGAGGGGGCTGAGCCTGCTGTGAGGGAGCTCTGGAACTTAATGCCTGAGCAAAGTTTGGTGTCCTCAGTCTACACAAAAATGAAATCCCTGCCTGCAGATGGAAATCTGTCCTCTCTTCTGAGCAAGGGAAAGCTCTTCAGCTCCTTGCTCCCAAAGCCCTGTTTGGGTGCTCAGCTGCTTCTGTGTCTCCTGTGAGCAGCCACACCATGCGTGTACCAAGTGCTATTTCTGCTGGTGGTGCAGGCTGTGCTGCAGCTGCAAACCCCAGCACGGCCACACTGGTCCATCCTGTGCGCTCAGAGCTCTGTGATCCCACCACAGGGCATGTCCCCCTGCCCCAGACTCGCCCCAGCCGGGCTGTGTGTGCCCACCCTGTGTGCAAGCCTGTCCCACGGGCAGTGCTGACAGCAGGAGCTCTGCCAAGAAACGCTGAGGCAGCTCCTTGAAGGTCACCCTGGTGATCACCAGCACAGGAAAGGCTCGGATGTGTGACACAGCTGTGGCTGTGAGATGAGGGGAAGTGTGCACTGAGCTGTGCCTGCTCTTACAGGAGCTCAGGAAACCAAAGCCTGCGGAAGGCAGAGGGGCTCGGGGGCTCTGTGGCACGAGGACTCACCCAGCACTGGTCCCATCACTGCAAGCAGCTGACAGAGATAAAAACCAGGGGAGTGAAGATGTTCAGCCACCAGAGTCGGGCAGCAGCTCTGCTCCGTCACTGCCCTGAGGAAGGCAGCACTTGGCTGGAAGTGTCTGCATGGGCTTGGGTTCCAGCTAATCCAGCACTGGTGTCATCAAAGCTGCACCTCCTTGGCTGCCTTGCCATCCTGTCAGAGAAAGTGAGCCCTGCTGAGGGCCACGGTGGTGCCCACAGGTAAGTGGCTGAAGTGGGTGAGATGAGACCTGGCACCTCCAGTTAGGTAAAATGAGTCCCACCAGCTGTTCTTGGACAAACTTGGAAAATAACAGGAATATTTTAATATGCAAGAAGCAGTCCCCAGTGATAATTTAAAATCATATCAATGTATATTAGAGATAGGAGCTAGTTGCAGATCCTAAAGTTACCATCACATTAAATGCCCCTGGCCATGAAGAAATGGGCTTTTAGAAGAAATCTTTGTTCCGAGTCTACACAGAATTGTCCTGCAAAGCAGACTTGTCCTCACTGCCAGCTGGTGAAGCTGTGCCAAGGTTTATGTCCCCACAGCACATACGTCTGGAGGAGAGCAGGCTCCTTCAATCAGGGCTCAATTCTCCAAATTATTTTGGTAGAAGATCAGATAAAACAAGCCTTTATTGTTTGTTTGTTTGTTTTTGTTTGTTAGTTAGTTTGTTTTGTTTTTTTAGTGGCAGCATATCTCTGCAGCTTTCTGGTCTTGCTCCACTTCTCTGTTGACCACTGGCTTCTCCAACTTCCCAGAGATTAAAAAGAGCAGGATAGATAATGAGAAGGAACTCTTGGTGGCAAAAAAATTTAACAGCACAGAGCTGCAGTAGCACAGTCTGTAGCTTCTGACTCTACTTCCAGCCTGGCAGCCACAGCAGTTTCCCAACACTGAGCATTTCTAGTGTGCTCAACCCTCAGCATTAACCAGCCATGAGTCATGCTCTAAATAATGTTGAGATGTGGTTTAGAGCCCCAGTTTGTTTCTTTAGAGCATACATGCTTGTCTCCTTTATGTACACTCTGGTATTTAAGTTTTCCTACCTAAGATGACAAGGAACTTCTCCTTTTCAGGCCTCCTTCTGACACTGGCCCTTTCGGCGCCAAGGGTTATCAGGAAATGAGTCAGGAGTCACCAGAAGTTCAGGAGGGCACAAGGTGCCTGCTTGGTGCACCTGCAGTGCTCAGCTGAAGCCACTCGCAGGGCAATGCTCCCTGACTTTCCTAGGAACTGGGACCACAGCTGCCTCCCAGTCCCAGCTGCCCAGCCTTCCCCCAGCACATGCTGAGATGCTGATGTCCTCTCTGTGCCAGGGGCTGGAGGTGTGCAAGGCTCCTGCCGTGGATGGGGCACAGGAATACAGAGCTGTGAGCTGTGGAGCTGCTGCTGCCGGGCACGGGGTGGCTGCTGAGCCTGGGGGTGGGAGGGCTCCTGATGGGGCAGGACATGGACTCTCCCAGCTGTTTCACCTCCAGCCTGTAGGAAATGCAGAGTGGGGCTGGGCAGTCACTGCACTGTGTGTGGGGTGCATGCTGATGGCACAGCTGCTGCCAGAAGCTCCTGCAGGAGCAAATGCTGTCTGTGCAGGTCTCTGGCGAGGCTGCCTGCTGCAGCAGCTCTCTGAGAGATCTTCCCTGCCTGCCTTCCTCCAGCTGCTGCTGGAGCCAGCTCCAGCAGCATCGCCTCATCAGTGCCCTGGCTGCTGATTCAGTAGGCACCTACTGCCCCCCGCCCCCAAAGGGGCTGTTGAGGTGCTCAAACCCACCTATCCCCAACCCACCAGCCCCCACCCACCTGCTGGGCATAGCAGAGGTTCCCAGGCCCTTCATTGGGAAGCTGCTCCTCTGAGGGACGTGGCTCTGCTGAGGACAAGAACACTTCCCAGGGCTCAGTGGTCCTTCATGTCCCATCCCTCCAGCCCTTATATGTGCATATGGAAAAAGCAGCGAGGCACAGGGGAGCCCCAAAATCTCACAGAAATGTGAGATTTTGTGCTGTAGACCAGCCCCTCCTCGTTCCCCGTGAGCAGGTTGAGTGCTGCTGTGTGAGCCAAGCTGCAGGTCTGATCCCAGGGGAGCTGCCACTGCTCAGACACCAGCTTGTCCCCACATCCCACACACCCTCCTCGCCCTCTGCCTTCCCCCTTGCACCTGGGGAGAGAATGATTCCTGTTCCCTCTGATAAGGCTCTGGCAGATACTGGGGAAGAAAGGAGTGGGAATAGCACTTCCTCCTCCTCCCCTCTCAGTTTCTCCATGGCTGAAAAGTCAGTGGTCTTGCTGTGATCAGGGAGGTTGTGGCTTCCTGGTATTCCCATGGGAACCAGGCCTTCCAGAGCAAACATCAGCTGCCCCAGCACTGGTGAGGACCAAGCTGGTGCTGGTTCTGTCCCAAAGGTCTCCAGCAGCTTCATCTCTGTGGTGGGGGCTGCAATGTGCCCGTCTGTGGCTTTGCAAATCTCTTTCTTTCTCTACAGAACAGCATGGTGCAAAGCACTGAAGTGCAAAGCTGGAGGGTTTATTACAGCAGGTGGTGGGGAAAGGCTTCAAATCTAAAATTCAGCCAAAATCTGTGCTCTATGGGTCACCCCCTGCCCTCCAGCCTGCCCCCAGCACAGCCTGCTTACAGACTGTTGGGACAGACAAATTTCCTGAGTTGCCAGCCTTAAGACTGAGGGAAAGCCAAACCAAAATAAACCTGATGTAGCTGGGTGCTTTAATTTTCAGGAAGAGCTGTGCAGCAGCAGGCTGGTTCCCAGCTGAATCCTTCTTGCTGTATCAAGCATAAATTCATCAGGTATTCCATTTCCTGGGGAAAAAAAAAATAAAGCAGAATAATTCACTTGGAAATAAAGAGTGGAGCTATTTTTCCCTCTGACATGGTGAATGCAATTACCTAAGGCATGGGAGGCTGAGATAACTCACTGATTCAGCCCCCACTCTCCAAAGAAACCATCATCATTCTGTCAGAAAAGGCTTTAAACTCCAATTCACATCCTGAATGCTAAAACATCACCACATACAGAGGCTGTCCTTATGATTTCCATGCACCAGCTGCTGCATCACAAGGAAAACACAGTCATAGACAGGCCAGAATTTATTATTGTCAAGGCCATATACAGAGTGCAAGCTCCCTGTGTTTGCTGACCCATTTACTGATGCTCTTGGTGTCTCCTTGTCCATCAGGAGCAATTCCTAGTGAAGCAAAGCCCACTGGCACCCTGTTAGTAGTGTTTGAGCCACACTGGGGCTGGGAAAATGTGCATGGGGGTTGAGAATCTCAAGCCGTGTCTGTTTGGAGAGCTGAGTGCAGGCAAGCCATAAGCCTGTGATTGCCCCTGAATTTAATTCCATTTAGGCAGCACTCTCCCACCTCTTCTGCCATTACATAATGGAGCAGAGTAATGACTTTGAGCAATACTCTTTGAGTGGCAGCAATCCAATTCTCGACTGTATTTTTTTTAATGGTGGGGGGAGAGCAGGTTGGCAGAGGGGAGAAAGAATCTGTTTGGTTCATCTGCAATCCCTGTTTCACTCTGGGAGCTTTAGAGGACAGACACATTCCTCCATCTCTGCTAATCCTCCTCTGATACAGAGGATTTTCCTGCCATTAAATGATAGCTTGTGAGAAAAAAAATGCCAACTTTTCAGAGACTGACTCGTATGGCTAAGGGCAGCCTCATGAGCAGGAGGGAGGACACAGCCACTGCCTGGCCAGGTAAGCAAGGTATCCGGATGATTTCTGTTGGGAATTTTGGTTTCCACTATTTGATGCTTAGCTGGTTACACTCCTCTGTGCCAGCACCTATTTCCTAGGGATAGAGCCAGTCCCTTACTGTTGGTGATCCTTTCCCACCTCAGATGAGAGGAATCTGCCTTTGGCATGGCCTGTGGGAAGGATGCAGATGAACTCCTGAAAAGCAGTGGCACAAAGCTGCAGGATTCCCTGAGAAGGTCAGTGGAAAAGGAAAGATACTCACCAGGAAGGTGCTGGGGACTTCTTCAGTTTGAAAGTGTGTGAGAGAAGAGCCTTTTCCTTCATCTTCCTTTCTAAACATAGATATTTTTGTGGAAAAATAATGCAGGAAAATGACAGAGGATGAAACCCATCTCTATTCTTCCTGTGTGCTTTTAGATCCCTTAAGTTTGCTTGCCAGACCTGAAATGCCACTAGAGAATAATCAAGGTAATGTTGGCCATCGTTCTAAATGGTGAGTATACTCTTATTCTGTATTATCCAGAAGTGGATTAGACAGATCATTTGGAAAGGTTGCAGTTACATATTCAATTATTTGCAATTATTGTCTCTTTACCCTTCTTAGCACTCTACAACCTTTCTTTTTTGTTTCTTTTCCTTTGGTCTCTCACTCTTTCTTCCAAATATTGAGTTACTGTAGTATTTAAAAGAGCGAAAGATATGATCCATGGGAGGAATTTTTTTTATTTTTAATGTCACAAATGTTTTTTATTTAACTGCCCTATTTCACCCTTTTGCTCAAACACAAATCTCCTTTGAGTGCTCAAATGTGTCACCAACTGGCTGAAAGCTTCCAGCTGCTGCCCTTTTTTAGGGAAGGAGTGAGGTGGGAAAGATGGGGATGTTTCAGGCTATGTTGATCAGATGAGATCTTGCCAATGGGGAACTGATCTCTTTTGCCCTGAGCAACAGCTCTCCTGAGGGTTTGGTACGGTTCATGTGGAGGATTTTTTCCAGCTTCCTTCAAAGAGGGGAAATTGCCCACCAAGGCTACATTACTGAGGGGTTTCCTCTGAGATCCTGTTGCTGGGGGGATATTTTCTCATTGGATGGTCATAACACTCTTGCTTTTCACATCCCACACATTGCAAATAGGCAATGTAAATAGAGATCTTAGAAGTCTGCTATGAAATGCTATTAGAAAACCCAGATTTGGCACTTGTGTATAAGGAAAACAGGCTGGATATGGCTTGGGGGCAGATATTTCCTCTATTGATTGATTCGAGGAGGAGCAGGGAGGGGAAGGAGGGGATCTGGTTATCAGCAGGCTCATTCCTACACTGTCCACCATGTGCAAAGCAGTGGAGGGAGGTCTGCTCTGAAGGTTAGGGATGTGACTGAGCTTGGGCAGCTGGAGCTAAACATGGAGCTTGCTCTGCTCAGCCTCACCTGTAGGACAGCCTATGCACAAATGCCCCTCTGGATGTCACCCTGAACCCACACAGGGCTCCCTACCAGCGGCAACCCTTGCATCCATCATTTTCCAGACAACCACCTGCAGTCAGACATTTGGGAACAGGCAAATCCTTAATCTGTCTGGCCCTCAGTTTATGTAACTGCCTAACAAAAACAACATATGCCCCTGTTGGCACGCAGAGGGTGGTCTGGTGCAGAGGGGAGCAAAAGAGGCAGCCCCTGGGCAGGCTGCACAAAGAAAGAGCAATCTGAGACCAGCATATTGTTCTCCTTCTTGTCCTTATACTCCAGCTGTTTTCAGGGGGATTGAAGGGGACTTTCCTTTAGCTGTGGCTGTTAGATAAGGGCCTGGGAGAAAGGGGAAGATCAGACAAACAAAATGACAACCTGTCTAAAATCCTTTCTACCTCCCAGAGTCCCTCACTATCATTTATCCTTGAAGTGATGTTGTTTTGCTAATTCTCCAGTCGCAATAGTGTGCCCAGGCATGATGAGACCTGAATTTTGATGAAGAGGCCAAAGCTCATCCTTTTGTGATGCTCTCTGTATATTTGAATGCCTTTCCTACATGCAATAACCAGAATGGTTTGAACAGACCCAGGCTCCAGGGCAGCTCCTGGGCTGATGCCCTTCAGCAGGGACTTGCCCAACAACTGGTTTTGCAAGTCTCTTTTACACAGGCAGTGTAAACTCCTAAATACAGCCCCATGCATGTTGTCTTTAGAGAGGATAGAGGGAAGGCAGAGCAATTGGAGCCCCAACTGTTGTTTCTCCTGTACATTAAAGCCTTAAGGACTGCAAAAATAAAACTTGATGCTTGCTGAAGGTGATACTCCTGGGCATATCACTTCACTAGTCTGCCTTATTAAAAATGCCCATGGGAATACAGCTGTAGTGGGCAATCCCTGTGCTGCAAACCACAGGGGGAGGCAGCCCAGCTGCTGGGAGCTTCCCCCTCTGGACACTCAGCAGGAGTATGGAGGAAACCCCCCTGATCCCAGCAGTGCAGTAATAGAGGTGGATGTTGGTAAAGCTGTTGGTATCTCATGTTTTGCTGAAAAAAAAGAAGAAAAGGATTATGTCTGTATTGGAGCTAATAAATTGCAGCAGGAAACCAGTCAGCAGGAATAGCACCAGTTTGTGCTTGTGACTATGTGCATATTGCTGGTATGGCTGCTCATTTTGTGGAGGAGAAGGTAGCCTGTGTCTGGGAGAGCAGTTAGGAAAACTGACTTCAGTTCTTCCTCTCTAACAAGTTTATTTTAATGGAATTAGAGAAAGAGTTGTGCTGAAAGGAACTTAAAGACCATCTCATTCCAAGCCCCCTGCCACAAGCAGGGACACCTTCCACTAGACCAGGTTTCTCAGAGCATCATCCATCCTGGCCTTGAACACTGGCAGGATTGGGGCATCCACAGCTTCTCTGGGTACCCTGTGCCAGTGCCTCACCACCCTCACAGTAAAGAATTTTTTCCATATATCTGACCTAAATTTCCTCTCTTTCAGAGGAGAAAAGCATTTTGCATTAAAAAGAAAACAAACTTACTTTTCTGATTTTTTTGACTGAATGGTTTTTCCCCACAAAAACCCTGTCTGTGGAGGCTGATGTCTCCCAGTTCTTTTGCTCCTTTTTGTTCTTCTCTCATTTCTCCCAAGAGCCTTCTTCTCTTCCTTGTTGTTCACCCACCTGTGTGGGACTAACCTGGGAGGAAACAACAGCCTTGCACCTCCCATATCAGGCTGATAAAAGATGGAGTGGCAGCTCCCATCATAACATAACAGAAACATAAGGCACGATGGTGACTGTCTTGAGAACTGCCAAAGTAGCAAAAACTGTGCTGGAGATGCAGAGTTTCTCATCTATTATGAGATCATGAACCCAGCAGTTGAACAATATCTATTAGTTTGTTTTTACTCACGCTGTCATAGCAGTTCACAGTGGGAATGTGTTGTCAAACACTGCATTTCATTGCCTTGAGAGCTGAGAGTTTCCCTTCCAGTGCTGCACCAGCTCATGGCCCTGGTGGAGAAACATCAGGTTGAAAGAGTAAAAGAAAGAAAGAAGCAAAAAGTGTGAATTTGACACACTTTGGGCAATTAATTGATCTCCCCTGCCCATTGCCAGACTCAGGATATACTGCCATCCCCTTTTCCACACCCAGGGATGCTGTAACCCACCCACAGCTGCTGGCCTTCAATGCATCTCTGCCTGCTTACTGGCCAAACCATGTCCCCATCGGGCAGCAGAGAGAGCCCAACAGAGACACTTGGGAAATACTGAATTCTAGGTGAACCTGCTCTTGGGGAGAGGAATTAATCAGAGATTGTGTTCTAGGCGACATATATTCTCAGTAGGTTTAGAAAGCCCAGAAGATTTTTTAAGAATTTTACACAAGAGGTCCTCAGTCAGCACTGAGGTGGCAAATAGCTTGGCTAGAGGGGAGGAAAAAGCGTGATTTATTTTTACTGCTCTGACGAATTAATTTGCTAATGATGCATTCTTTTCTCTCCTGCCTCACCTCTGTGGGGGCGGCAGTGATCCTTTGGGTGCCTCAGGTCCGTGGGGTGTGGGCCTGCGTGCGCTCCTGCCCTCCCAGCTGCGTGTGCACCCCGGAGAGGAGCTGCTCCGTGCTCTGCGACCGCGCCGGGCTGGGGCACATCCCCAGCGAGTTCCCCTGCGAAGCCTCTTCCATCAACCTGGATAAAAACAGCATCAAGTTCCTGTCTGAGAGGGCCTTCGGGACGCTGCCGTCCCTCAAGTCCCTGTCGCTCAACCACAACAACATCTCCTTCATCACGCCGGGGGCGTTCAAGGGGCTGCCCAGCCTGACGGAGCTGAAGATGGCCCACAACGAGTACATTCGCTATCTGCACACGCGGACCTTCACCGCGCTCCGGCGCCTGGTGAGGCTGGACCTGGCCGACTGCAACCTCTTCAACATCCCAGACAGGATCTTCATCGAGCTGCCTGCTCTGCAGGAGCTCTTCTGTTTCCAGAACAACTTCCGAAGGATCCCGGGCGCCATCAGGGGCATGGAGAACTTGACCCATGTGTACCTGGAGAGAAACAGGATCGAAGCGGTGGCCTATAACTCCCTGCAGGGCCTGACCAAGCTGAAATACCTGAATCTGCAGGACAACAAGATAAATGTCATCCACGAGCGAGCTTTTCAGGGCTGCCAGAGGATGGAGTACCTCTACCTGAATGACAACTTGATCAGCGAGCTTCCAGAAAACTCCTTTGATGGCCTGAGGCGCCTGAAGATGCTCAACCTGGGGGGGAATTTTCTCAGGAACATTTCCAACACCTGGTTCCGGGATTTGGGGGAGTTGGAGTTCCTCTACCTGGACCGCAACAGGATCAGCTACATCGAGGAGGGGGCTTTTGAGAACCTCACCAGCCTGGTGGCTCTGCACTTGAACAGCAACAACCTGACGACGCTGCCCTTCTCCGTGTTCGAGCCCGTGTACTTCCTGGGCCGCCTGTACCTCTTCCGCAACCCCTGGGAGTGCGACTGCCGCATCGAGTGGCTCAAGGAGTGGATGGAGAACTACAGGCTGGTCAGGGATATTCCGTGTGCCTCCCCCTCCTCGGTGGCGGGGATTGATCTGATGGACGTGCTCTTCGAGAGGTCTCCCGAGGGTTACTGTCTCGACCCGGAGGAGCTGAACATCACGGCCGAGCGGCCGACCCCAAGCGAGGAGCCTTGGTCCACCACAGAGAGCAAGTTCAACAGCCTTATCTCCAAACTCCTGCTCCAGATGGGCCTTCCTGAAGAGGTGGCAAATGCCACTGAAGTGTACAGCAACAGCACACAAGCAGATGGACAGACTGAAGGGGTTTCTTCTGGCATGGGGGGAGACAGGACCGAGGCTGACTCCTCTTCCTTGTACCTCCCAGCACTTCTGACAGTGATTGTTCTGCTGTGCAAATAGTCCAAGGGCTGGATGGAGCAGGGGTTCTGCTTAAGGGCTTAGACCCTGCATCTACTTAGTCATCAGAGAAAAGCTTTATTGTGGGCCTCTGATACTTAACAAGCTCCAAACTCTTCCAGGTTGGGTTTGTTGGATCTGGCTCCAGATTCCCCTGGGAGCTGGTGAGATCTGGGTCTCGCTCTGGGTGACAAACCTGCCCTGTGGGTGTCCCAGAGCCTCCTGGATACTGACAGGGACATGTGCAGCACTAAGATTGAGTTTTGCCTAGAGATGTGTGATGCTGTGCTGGGAAAGGAGGGAAGAGGGGTCTGTCTGTGGGGTGTTTGTTCCATCGGGCCAGCTTGCTAGAGCAAGATGTTCCATGGTGACTCAGTTTCATGAGAGCAAGATGGGGCTGCAAAACTGGGCTCCTCTTTGTGTCCTGACAGACACCCACACCCACCCATGGCAGATGCTGCTGAACAATGGGAAACTGTTCCTCATTTCCTCAGTGGGTGCAGGAGGGAGCAGGGCAGTTCTGGGCAACATCCAGGGATGCAGCAGAAAACATGTATAGGCCTCAATGAAAACATCCAGGAAACGTGCATAGACCTCAATGAAAACATCCAGGAAACATGTATAGGCCTCAATGTAAACATCCAGGAACATGTATGGACCTCAATGAAAACATCCAGAAACACGTATAGAACTCAATGAAAACATCCAGAAACAAGTATAGACCTCAATGAAAACATCCAGAAACATGTATAGGCTTCATGGAAATGAGGAAAGTGCGTGGGGGGACACCTGCCCCAGGCAGGTCTGGGATGGGCACAGTATTTTGGCCGTGACCACAGGCAGGACTTTGATCCTCTCTCCCCCCACCATTATCCTGGTACTGTGAGGAGAACCAGATGGACCCGTGTTTGTCAAACATTCTTCTCAGAGGCAAAGCTACTTCAACTTAACTACTTATCCCTTAATTTCAGTGTGTTTTTCAGTGAATATATTGTTTCAAGGAATACATTTTTTTATTTGTAGATTGTTTCATGGCATGGCAGCAGGGGCAGAACATGGTGATGACAAATACAACCAGGCCCCATGAACTATTTTGTATTTCTACCACTAATATGTACCATGTAGTGTGTCATATTATGCCACATTGATAATTTTCTTTTATACAGCATCTTAAGTGTTCTATCTTTGAACTCATCAATAAAGGCTGCTAATATGACCAGAAAAAATGATGTTTTATGTATCAAAGCACATTAATAAAATAATTTGATACTTTATTCACAAAAATAAATTAACTACTCAAACCTAGGTTTTGTTTTTTTCTGGAGATCCTTGAACAACTCTGGTGATTTTTTTCTTGTAGGCTACTCAAATGGTGCACATGAGCCTCCTTTCATGGCCTAGAGCAAATGGCAAGCTATTTATTGCAACATAAGTACTTTCACTTAGAACCTGACTGTGCTTATGTTTGTGTTAAGCAGCAACACTTGAAAATATAAGTGACTATATAGATACAGTTCTGTCCAAAAAGATCTACTGCTTTCTAATCAGTGCCAGAGATTTCCAGAGGAAAGCTGAGTATGGGGAAAACCAAGCCTTCCCTGCTGCAATGGCTTCTCAGTTATCTGTAGCTCGACCACAGTTTCCCCAGGGAATCAAAATGCCAGATGGTTTGATAAATGCCTATTTGACCTGTTCCGTGAACTAAATTCAATGAGTTTGGATTTCCAGGCTATTTATGAATCCATTAATCTTCTTAAGTGCTAAATTCATCTGAGTATTAAAAGAGGCTGTTTTTCAAACCTAGTCCAGCCCGGTGCAGTAGAGACACATTAGGTTAAGGATGCCTCTACAGGAGCACTGTTTCATCCTGTCAGGGGAGGTTTATCAGTCGGCCTGGCACAGATGGTAGGACACAAATGGTTGTATTTCACTTCATGCCTCATGAGTGAATTGTTTTTATAACCCACATATTCATTTTCTGTGCTGGGGCACATTAAAGCTGAAGATCTCCTTTACTGTGCAATTGCTGAGTGGCTTTCAAGTCAATCAGTGCTTCAAAGATGCTCCTGCTTTATCTGCAAGATGCAGATCTGAACATGAAGCATCCTGAAATGTTGGTTTTAGCAGAGATTGTGCTGTCAGGTGATGGGCAAGAGGGCTGTGCATTGTCCTCAGCTGTGTGACAGCAGGGACACTGACCTTGGGGTCGATGGTTTAAGTGTCTCTCGTGCTCAAACACTGCCTGGCCCAGAGATTTCCCTGTGCTGCTCTGACACAGCTGTGGCTGACGCTGCTGGGTGTGAAGTCTTCATCTTCCCTGCAGGAACCAGGACAGACTCTGGGCTCTCCTGCTCTGCAATCCTGCTCTTCCCTCCCAGCTGAGAGATCAGCAAAGCATTTCCAGTGGCACAGAGCAGCTGGCACACGGCACTCCGAGTGGATTGGGAAAGGTCTGTGAGCCTGTGCCTGCTTTTCTTGAGCCTGTGCCTGCTTTTCTCCTCTATCTTGTTCATTCCTCGAGGAGACACCAGAACTGCTTCGTTCTTTCATGATTCTTGTTTCTAAACTCTTAGCAAATGGCTTGTTTCTCTGATTACATGGGCAGGAGACAACTCATAATTACATTGTTTAAAATAAATAATTTGGTTTTTTCTTTATTTTCTTAGACCACACTCTTGCTGCAAAATTGTGCTTCAGCTGGTAAACCTGAACCAGTTGTTGGCTGCAAGTCCATGGCTCAGAGTCCCTTCACAAATCTATGCTATTTTCAAAATCTGTCTCTGGACTGTGACACCTCCAAAGATGTTAAACCTTTGTCTGTTTGGAATAACTGCAAGTATTTTTCAGCAAAGTAGTGCTCCCAGCCCTGCCCTCAGCATGAGGTGCTGAGATTTTGTTTGAAGCAGTGGGAAGGGATGGTCATGAGCTGCCTGGAGTTAGGATATACCTTCTGATTGAAGTTTATTCAGGCACCTGAGGTCCTGGGAGAAGGCAATTTGTTTTAATGTGTGGTACCTGGTGACACTGCACTGCTCTTCTCTGGTGCAACTGGTTTTCATGCTGTACAAGTTACTGCTGGAGCAGAGGGGAGAAGTTGTCAATGTAAATAGAGGAAAAAAACTGAATTTTGGATATAACCTCTGAGTCACAGAATTCTGTTGCTACATTGCCCCCCTAGGATCATACTCAGTGTTTTAACATGAACACCTTTATGTCCCCTCTGTTTTCTTTAAATTTGCAGCTATTGCCAGTAACCCGCTGTGAAATGAAGATATTGGCTGTTTTGCTTCTCTTGTGGATTATCAAATTTTTCTGCTTTGGAAAGAAACATGATGTGCAGGACTTGAGGAATTGTTGTTCTTTGCTAGAGAGGCAGCAGCTGCTGTCTGAGACTGACAGCTGCTGGCCAGCCAAGGCTCAGGAACTTCATGGTCACTTTTCAAGGGTGTTGTATTTTGGGTAATTCTTACCTTCACATCACCTGGCTGATAGCTTTAAAAAAAAAAAAAAATTGAATTTTAACTTGTTGCGCTTTCCTTTGATAATTTTTGTGGTCATAAATTCAAGAGGAACCAAATCAACAGAGTTAAATTCCAGAAAACTGGTGTGCCTGCTCTGGAGGATATTAAGCCTTGCAAGAAAATAGCCTGTCATGATCACTCCTGCTCCAGTGTGAGCTTCAGAAGACAAGGTTAGTTTGGGTGAGAAAACAGTGCTTGTAAATGCCTGCTTTTGCAGAATTAAGGTATGGGATTGCTGCAGAATCACTAAAAATACCGATCCTTCCTCTTCCCTCACCCAAATATTATAGAGATCAGTGGAGTTTGAAGGATCTGCTGCAAGAACCTTCAAACTTTTAAAAGAACTTTAAAGAAAAAGCTAACCATGGAATAAAGACCAGAAATTATAATTAAAAAAAAAAAGATATTACTTCAAAGAAAAACATATAGCTCATATTTAAAACATAAACCTAAACATGTGCAAGATCATCACCAATGTTCCGTTTCTCATGGGGCAAGTCTGGTATTCTCAACTTTGACCTTCACCACATCCTTTGATTTTTGTTGTACTTCCTTCTTCATCTGTCTTTTAAAGGACTGTTTGAGAGTTAATTTTTAACTTGCACACCATACATTTTATATTCTCAATGAAAAATACTGAGGCATTTCAAAAAGACCTAAAACTACCTTTAGTTTTCCTGTACACACCTGATGGTTTACTCTTCATGCATATTCTATGTATTTGCCATTTGGATTAACAGCTGATTTCACTTCGTGCTTGTTCAGTGGGTTTTGATCTGTGTCAGGAGCTTTTTGACATGGCTGGAGGTTTGCAATGAGGCTTAAGGCATCCTTGTTCTGCCTCTCCTTGTATTCCACACCCTCTTTCCACTCCTCCTCTCCTCACCCACTTGTTTCTGTTCCAAGCCTGGACTTGCCTGTGCCCTCACTGTGCTGCTCCAGCTGTGATTGAAACTGGATCACTGCAATGACCCAGGTAAAACCAACATTCAACCCTTCCCTCTTTTTTTTGATGTTTAGGTTCCCTATTATTTCCCCTAATATTTTGTAAGTCAGGTTGGGTCATAAGTGGCTTAAACTGGGGATAATTGGGATAAAATTATTTAATTGGATATTTGGAATAGCAAAATTATTCCAATTTTGCTATTGTTGTATCTGAAAGGGGGACAAGATAAATGGGAAAGATGGTGCTCAGTTTGCTTAGACTCAGGATATTGGGAAGAGGCCTAGGGAGTTTTTGGGCTTTGTGGGGGCAGATCAGGGGACAAGCAAGGAACCACTGAGCCCCTGGTGAGATGAGGATGTGCTGGACCCACAACAAACTGTGCCATGCAGCCAGATGTAAAAATATGTGTAAAAATAGAAGTGGTTTTACTTCTGGGCTTTTGATGATAAGAACAAGGCTGAGTGCACAGTGCCAGGGTGGGCAAATGTGATAAATCAGTAACAAAGGACAACCAGCTGTGCCCATGTCAATTGGGATGGAATTGGCAGCAGCAATTTCTCCAGTGCTGAATGATTGTGTCTCAATGTGCTGTGACAATAAGAAATACATCAGACTCTAAGTGGACAGGCACTTCCCTGATGTATGAGACTGGTAAAGAGCCAGAGGGCAAAGCACAGAAATAAATTATAAACTTGCAATCAGACAAAGCTGGTTCTACAAAGATCCTTTTGTCTCTGTTGAAAGCATCTGTCAGCAAGCCAGATATGCAATGCTGCATGGATCATGGGCAATGTGGGACAAAAATGACCACAAATTCTAGGGATGGGTGAGACATGTGTGCTCTGTGCCACAGGGCACCTTCACCAGAGGATTCCCTGAGGATGTGAAGTTGATTTGGATTCACAGAGCTTTTCTATTTTTCTAAGAGTAGAGTTGGGTTTCTGTGTTCTTGGCTCAGACCTTGTCTGTCTGTGGTGGCTCCTCCAGTGCTGCTGCCGACCTTTATGACCAAATCTCAGCTGTGGGTCTGTGACATCCAAGGGCCAGCTCAGGACACCCCTTGGCCTAAGGTTAACAGAGCACAGGAAGCATTTCTGCCAACACAAAGCAATAAAAATCACCATGTAGCTCTCAAGGATACAGAACTTACCTTTTTGAGAAGAATATTTTTCATTAAATCGCTAAAATAGGATGAATCAATGAATCGTAGAATGGTTTGGATTAGAAAGGATCTTAGAAATCACCTAATTCCTGCCATGGGCAGGGACACCTTCCACTAGGTCAGATTGCTCAAAGTCCCAACCAAAATGGCCCTGAACATTTCCAGGGATAGGACATTCACAATTTCCTCACCACCCTCACAGTAAAGAATTCCTTCCTTATACCTAACCTAAGTCTTCCCTCTTTCAATTTAAAGCCACCCCCCTTGTCCTATCACCATATTCTCTTGTAAAAAGTCCCTCCCCATCTTTCTTGTAGGTCCCATTTACATACTGGAAGGCTATGGTGAAGTCTCCCCTTAAAAAAAAGTGTCTGTCAGAAAGAGCTTGGAAGAGACAAACCAGACAGGAGGCAGATGCACATCAGCAGGAGAAGGAGAGTTGCAACTGGTGTCACACTGCAGAACATGGTTTAGAAAAACAATGCCCCAAATCTGTGAACTGGAAATAAATTAAAAAAAAAAAAAAAGTAAAAAGGACCTGCATCCATCCCACAGACTGCAAGGACCTGTATTTTAAGGTCTGTGGGCAGCTTCCTTGGCTCAGTGAAGTGCTCCTGGTGAGCAGCTATGCTCCCATCTTCCAGCCCTGGGAATTTCTCATCTCTCAGTCTTTGGC